AAAACTTGGCTTAAAAAAAATTAATAATTTTAAAGTTATTTAAGTGATAAAGTTTCCAAATGTGATCTATGAATTTATTGAGAAAAATTGGAGGTATGTTGAATATAAATTTAAACATATTTTTAATTTATTTAAATATGGTTTATTTTTAGTATTTATAAAATAGATTAATTTTAAATTTTTAACTTTTCTAGCAGTCTATTTTTAATCTTTGTTATTAATTATGTTAAAAATGAAAAATATTAATTAGTATACTTAAACCAAAAAATATTTTAACTAAAGATAAATATATTTTTATAAATAATTTAATTAAATAATATATTTATTATATAATGTATATTGATATAAATTTTTTTCTGGTATATCAATTATATGAAAATAACCATGGATAAGTAATTAATAATAATAAAACAATAAATTTAAAAATTAGATTAAAAATAAAGTATTATAAAATAAAATTGTAATAATTTGATTGAAATTGTAATTTTTTTAATTAATTAAGTTAATGAGGAATTAAAATGTGATAATTTGATGTGTTTAATTTTTTTAATATAAATTTTTAAAATATAATTTAATTTCAATTGAAATTTTCATTTGAAAAATAAATTAAAGAATATTTGTTATTGAACATTTCTTTAAAAATATATTGAATAATTAATATCACTCCAGTCGTAATTTATTACAATTTAAATTTTTAATAAATTTGATTTATTTTTAATAATATTTTTATTTTAGTAATTTAAAATTAAAGTTAATCTTCATTTTGTTAACATTGAGACCAAAGTTTATTTTTAAAGTATATTTTAAATATTAAATTATTTTTAAAAATAAATTACTTTTAAAAAATAAATTGTAAAAAATATACTAAAACAATTAAAGTATATTTATAAAAAAATTAAATATAATAAAAAAATAATGTTCATTAGCGACCGATTTCAATTCGGTTGCTATTTTCTCATTAGCGATCGATTTCAATTTGGTAACTATTTCAATTTGTAATTCGGTAGCTAAATCGATCGCTAAATGATTTTTTATATTTTAGTATGGAATATTTACCAATTTAGCGACCAAAATTTTGCGACGCAAATTATTGGTCGCTAAATGAAAAAGTGAAACTAAATCATATTTCGGTTGTTAAATTGCGATCATATTAAATCGGTCGCTAAATTGCAACCATATTAAATCGGTCGCTAAATTGTAACGAGAATTAACTTAATCGTTAAATCGGTCGCTAAATTGCAACCATATTAAATCGGTCGCTAAATTGTAACAGAATTAACTTAATCGTTAAATCGGTCGCTAATTGTGACTTGAATTAAATCGATCGTTAATTGCGACTAAAATTAAATCGATCGCTAATTGTGACCGAAAAAATTTGGTTGCTAAAATTATTTTTTCTTGTAGTGTCAGTTCCTAAGTAGTTTATAATATTCTAGATAATTTTATATTTTCTTAACTCTAGAATTTGTTGTCTTCTACTTTCAAATATTTCTAAAATATTATAATGATTCTAGATATTACCAATGTGAAATTTTTTATTCTAATTATATCTAAGACTTTATTTTCTAGATTTTTTCTATATTTGCATCACCTTTTAACATCTTCAATCCAAGACAAAATTTTTAACATCTTCAATCCAAGACAAAATTTTTACTCCCCATGATCCTTCATTTTAAAGGAATCATCTAAAACCTTGGTTATGTGTCTGATTTCAGCCCATGAATCACTTGCAAGAATTATATCATCAATGACTAAGACAATAAAGGAATTTGTGGTTTTCTTAACAAATAATGAATTATTGTGAGTGAAAGTGATCCTAGCAAAGATCTCATTGATTTGATGAAGTCAAAGATAGAGTCAAAGGTCAACTCTGCAGCAGTCAACAAGTCACTCAGAAGAATGGAGCTGAAGACTTAGTGTGTCTTATCAGAAAGCTTAGGTAAAACCACTTTACCTTTTCCACCATGAAGCTCCTTCACTCAATTTGCAAAATGCCTCAAAAATAGTTTTAAACAAATCAATCAAAAGCATTTTGACAAAGAACTTTCTTAACAATGTTTTTAACTGATATAGTTTTAAAAGAAACAATTAAAATCACTTAGAATGCGTAAAGAAGTGTTTTTACAGTATTTTAATCGATACAAACTTCTTTTAATCGATTAAAACCCTTTATGACCGATTAGAATTCGAATATGACGAGTCAGAATGAAATATAATCGATCATACTTTAAATATGAGCGATCAAAATTCTTTTAATCGATTAAAACACGTTTCAATCGATTAAAACCACTTTGGAAGTCAGGATGATCGATCAGAATGAAATTATGACCGATCAGAGTTGGTTATGATCGATCAGAATTGAATTATGACCGATCAGACTTATTTCAATCGATTAAAACAAATTTCAATCGATTAAAATGACTTGAAAATTTTTGAACAGAGTTTCAATCGATTAAAACGCATTTCAATCGATTAAAATAACTTGGAAAATTTTTGTACAGAGTTTCAATCGATTAAAACGTATTTCAACCGATTAAAACAACTTAGAAAAATTTTGTGCAGGTTTTTAATCGATTAAAACTTCTTTGTATCAGTTAAAATAACTTGAAAAGTTTTATAATAAAGTTTTAAAGTAAATCAATCGATTAAAACGCGAATCAATCGATTGAATAACACTTAGAAAATGTTTGTAAAATGTTTTAAGCTGATATAAACATGGTTGTATCAACTAAAACAATTCTGTTAAAGAAACAAGAACGCATTAATGGGTTGAAAGGACTTTTAACAGATTATAACGGCTATTTCAACAGATTAAAACAAACTTTCAACAGATTAATTAATGCAGCAGATTTGAAAATTCTCTTTAAAAACAGTTTTGCTTGAAATTTTTAAACAGAGATTGTACATCAGTTTTTCATACATCCAAAGCAATCAATTCAAGCAACTGTTAAGCATCCTTTTCCAAGAAAGATTCGTAACTGCTTTGTGAACTTCTTTTGAAATCTTTCTTGAGGCACTTTTGCATTCTTTGAAGGAGGAACTTACAGTAGATAAGCGTAATCCGGTTTGAGCTTTCTAAGTTTCTTCTTTTCAATTGCTTTTCATTTCTTTGTATTGTGTTGTACCTGGAATTTGGGTACAAGTTTTCTGCAACTGGTAGGTGGTTGTAGAAGTTTCCAAGAACTGGAATTTGGTTCTTGGTGGAGAGGTTGAGTACTGAGAACTGGAATTTGGTTCTTGTCTTGTTTGGTGCCTGGAATTTGGGCACTTGGTTTCTCTGCAACTGGAATTTGGTTGTAGAGGTTTTCAAGAACTGAAATTTGGTTCTTGGTGAAAGGTTTGGTGCCTGGAATTTGGGTACTGGGTTCTCTGCATGCTGGAATTTGGTTGCAGAGGTTTCCAAGAACTGGAATTTGGTTCTTGGTGGAAAGGTTAAAGTCGAGGACTGGAAATTGGTTCCGGTGTTAGAGTAGGTGTAAGATTGTTGAGTCTGTAAAACATCTATTCTAGTGGAACCCAGCTGGAATTTGGCTGAAGACTGGACGTAGCCCTGGTATTGGGTGAACCAGTATAAAATTACCGGTGAAATCTTTCCTAACCTTTCTCTCTTTAATTTCAGTTGCTGCGCTTGTATTGTTTAATTGCTTTGTGATTCGTGAATTGATTAGTAAACTTAATTTTCGAATTAGATATTCTGTTTATTGCGAAAAACTTTCAAAAATCAATTCACCCCCTCTTGATTTAAAACTACTTTTCTAACAGTGAGAACCTGAGATTTTGAAGGGTTGAACTAAGGTTTGAAAACCATTGTCTACTTGATTGAGTCATATATAGACTTCATTAATTTGCAATCTTGATTAGCTTTTGTTGTCTTCAATCCTTATGATGATGGTAACACGTAAACCTCTTCATCCAAATCACCATGTAAAAAAAAGCATTGTTCACTTCAAGCTATTGAAGATACCAATTTTACCAATTTTTAGTTGCAGAAAGGCAAGGAGCAAATGCACTGTACTGAACTTGGCTACAAGAGATAAAGTGTTGGAATTATCCTTTTGAGTATATCCCTTTATTATTAATCGTTCTGTATCTTTCAAGGCTCCATCAGTTTTTCCATTTAACTTTAAAAACCCATCTGCATCTAATGAGTTTTTTTTTTTCTCAGGAAGACAAGTTAAAATCCATGTCTTATATTGCTCTAAAGCTTCAATTTTTTTTTTTCTTATCGTAGCTGACCATTCATAAGATTTGATAGCTTCTTCGTAGCTTTTTTATTCTTCACCAGTGGTGATAGCTAGAGTATACTGCAAATGCCTCGTAGAAAGTCTTTCATAACCAAAAATAAAGAAAAGAGGATATAAACTATTATTGTTCTTAGATCTATCATAACTAAGAATAGAAAAAAGAGGATATAAATTATTATTGTTCTTAGATGTATGTTTTAATGTATTAATTATATCATGGTGATAATCCTGAAAATAAGATGATATTTTTCGTGTTCTAGTAAATATTTGTACGTTCTATTCAATGTTGTCATACATGATTTCTTTTTCAACCTTAATAGGAGTGTCTGTAAAATTGTCTTTTGTTAAGATAATCTAAAGAATAATTGAACTCATTTTCCTTTTCCTTTTGATCATCAACAACATGTGTATTAAATATCTTCATAAAAAATATCATAAAATTTATCTATTTATTATATATGTTTTATATAATTACAGAATATGGACCTGAGATTTATATTAAATACTAACGGAAGAAAACAACCATATATGAAAACAACGGTTCAAAATAGTTTTTTCCAAAATTTATATTAGATACTGACAGAAGACAAGAATCAGAGTACATTACAGAAATAAGCAAACTCACACGACATAATTTTTTTATTCACACAAAATAAATAAACTGGATAGATACTTGTTCACTAGGAAAAATGCTCTATCCAACATAATCAACCAGAAAGATATTCAAGGAATTACATAAACAGTGAAGTTCAAAACCTAAAGAGAATCAAGTCCTTGAATAAAAAGGGTAGTAAATTCTTCCATCTCAGCTTTACTTAACGTCAATCCAATCTCAACTCCTCCATGGATATCTCTACTTTCATTAAGAGAAAATGCTTCTTCTCCGTCTATTGAACTGATATCCACCTTCTTTGGCCTTCCACACCCAAAATCAATACTGTAAACCTCAAACCTAGGAGATCCAACAACAGATATTCTACCCTCCAAAAATTCATTCATATCCGAAACCCATCTTTCTGCTCCATTCAACACTCCTTCATCCTTCACTCTATTCAGAGCCTCACTTATCCCCTCCACAGCACAAATGAATCCATCATTTCCAACCAACTCCTTAGTCAAAGCCACAACCATTTGTTTTGCAACGCAGTTTCCAAAATACGTGGCGGGAATTGGAGGGTCCAAGCGTGATCTACAGTCAATATAAAATATGAAACCCACGGTATCTTCCTTCACTTGTCTCACTTTGACCAAACACGCCAACACATAAGCACACGTAACAGAAAATGTTGACGGATGAACATTCATTTTCACCTTAGAGTTTGCATGTTGTTTGAGCTTTAGAATCTGTGAGGGGGTCAATTCAAACAAACCTTTGAGTCCATCACTTAGCTTTGTAGTAACAACCTCCCACGGCTTGAGACTTCGGTTAGTCGAACCATTATGATTCATCCACGTGTCAACATACACTTCAGCAATTCCAGTAGGTTCTCTTATCAATGATCTGTCACAGAAAGGAGTAAGATGATGAGGTAAGGATGGTGTTGGTGTAGATGTATTAGGGTTTTTAAGTTTAGAGCATATCGAGGCCCATGATTTCATGAACATGGTTGCAGATTTTCCGTCAAAAGCTGCATGGTGTGCGTTTATTCCAATGCAAAAGCCAGCGTTTGGGAACACAGTGACTTGAATTGCCAACAGAGATGCTTTATCATTGGAAATGGCCAAGTCGGGGGCCAAACCGTGTCGTTGTGATGCTTCACAGAGCTGGGAGCTAAGATGGTTGAAGTTTTTGTTGGATTCAGCAACAACGAAGGAAACAGTGTCGCCAGGTAAATAGTTGATGATAGGTTTGGGAGAGTGACAGGGCCATGTGAGGGTGCCAGCAAAAGGAAGAAAGTGTTGGAGAGTGAGGGAAAGAGAGTGTTTGAGAGAGGGAAGAAGAGAGTGATGGAATGAAGAGATTGGGTGGGGGAAGGGATAGAAGTAGAGACATTTTACGGGTGTAAGGCGCAGCCATAAGAGGTCAAAGAAGGTTAGTGGAAGAGAGGTTGGAACAATGGTGGAAATGGTTGGCTCATGAAGTGGTGCCACTGAACAAACTTGGATAACTTTGAAAGGAGCTGGTGATGCTTGTTCAGCCATTGGTGAAAGGAATAGAGAACTGGTGCAGTTGGAAAGAAAGTTGTGTTGTGTAGTGATGATCCAGTGTTTTGAACGAGTTTTATTGACAAAAAAAATGATTAATTAAAAACTGGTAATTAATTGTGACGCAAAATATACATTTAATTTCAATTATATATATATATATATATATATATATATATATTTTTTTTTTTTTTTTAATTAATTTTGTTCATAGTATAAGATTCTGAACTGGTCCATAATCTGGATATCCTGATACGGAAAAAATAGATTTAAAACCTCCTTTTTTTAACAAAAAAACTTTCCAACAATTTCATTTAAGAATATAATAATATTATTATAGTATTATTTTAATTGAATCTTTTTATGATTATTATATTAATTGATTGGGTTTTCTATAATATTTTTTCATTATGGATGTACATATATATCATTGATTGGGTAGAAATTTTAATTCGTTAATGTGATTTATATTGTTGATATTGATATTTCATATATATAGATAATTTTTATTCTTCTAGTTTAGGATGATTGTAGTTTTTATGAAATTAATATACATTTTTTTTAATTTACAAATAATAGTAATTAAATTTTTCCATGTATATTTGACTCTGTATATATGATTTGAGGAAACATGGTGATTTCACTGACATTAAACCATTCTAATTAAATGTCTCCGACGAGCCCTAATTTTGAGAAGAAGAATCCCAACATTAATTTTGGTGAAGCTTTTATTAATGGTTGAGATAGACCGTTATGAATATATTTTTTATAGATGGAATGATAATTAATTCAATTTTGTAAAATTAATTTGATATTATCTTAAAAATAAATAATTACCTAATTTAATTTTATAAAATCGATTTTATAAGATATTGTTTTTATTCAATTATATATTATATAATATATTGTTATATTTCTAATTGATATAAAATTTTGATATAATTTGATTCATAATTGGGTATGTTAATTAATTTTGGTGAAATATAATGAATTTTCCATATATTTGAAATTGTTTTATTAAAGAGAAGATCAAATAAAGATACTATAGAATAGTAGAATATATCAACTTATATATAATAACACACTTTTACATTATAAATGACATATAATATTGAAATTAATGATATTATGCTCTCCTAAAAACATCAGAACTTGGGAATCATCAATCTTATATACTCATCTTTAAAGAAAATTATGAAAAAAAACACAAACATTTTAATAATATATACATATTTTAATAACATTTAAAAATTTTATAATCTTATATACATATTTTATAATAGTTGATAACATTATTCAAACAATCTCAAATTTTAGTTATGGAATATTCTAACAATATCTCGTTACTTTTATGATATAGTTTCATTAGTTTTAATTATCATACCTTCTTATGTATCTTAGGGTTTTTTATTTGGGTATATACTCTTTCCCAAATAGATTTTTTGTACTAAGTTTAAGTTGATTTCTTTTTTATTAATTTTTTAAATAATATAATGTGATACTTAAAATCATACACATTATTTAATAATGGTTAATGTAACATTAATGATTTTTTTAGTGTAAAAAATAAAATTTAACAGAATAATTAGTTATATGTATGAAAAATAAATAAAATTTTTTAATTATACTAAAAATATATTTACCTTATTTATTGTATAAAATAAATTTATATCCTAATTTTAAGGTGTATGAGTTTTTGTAAGACAAGTCATTAAATCGAAAAATAATTTGAAAATTTTCATATTAAAATAAATTATATATATTATTACTTATAAAAAAAGTAACTAAATAATTTTTTTTTGAAATACATCTTTAAAGTATAAAACAACAAATCTTAATATGATAGCTATTCTGCATGGAAACGAGGATTTTAAATAAATATAACCCAACGGTTAAAACCTTTAAATCTTAAATATTAAGTTCTAGAATATATATTTAAAAGAGGAAAATTTATATATAAAAATATTCTAAAGTTTAAATCAATGCCTAAATATTTTAAATAATTTATTTAAAAAAATGATATAAATAAAATCTTTATTAATTTATTTACTCAACTAAACCTTTTATTAATATAGGAATCAGTAAATTTTTCACTCTTCTCACATATTCTTTTATTTTTCCTTCTTCACAATAACTCCTTGATTGATTTATTTATTTCTCATTACTTATTCACTCATTATTTTTTTATTTCTCTGTTATTATCTTTTGCTATTCTCTCTTCTTTTAATTATTCTTCTAATTAAAATAAAAATTTAACAAAAAATATTAAATTATTTTTTTCAAATTAACATTAAAACTAAAAAATATAAATTAATTATTTAAAATTATGATAATAATAAATAATTTTTCATTAAAAATATTAAATATTTATGAGTTGAATTTATTTTTTATTTAATATTTTATTCTAGTTATAATTAAATCATATTATGATGATTAGTCAAATTAAATAATTTAAAAATATTAAAAAATAGTTTAAAATAAATATTTTATTACTTTTAATGTTATTTTACACTAGTATAAAAATAGTATTTTATTACGACTTATTATGATGATTGTAATTCATCTGTTATAATAAATTGGACGGTAATAATTTTGTTATTAAAATTCATTTTTTATGACTTTTCATGTCAGTTCAAAATTGAACTGTCATAGTAAGTAGATTTATATTGGTTCTATTTTGAACTGTCATATTAAATGTTTTGTAAATTATAATTTAAACAATTATATCGGTTCAATTTTAAATCATCATATTAAGTATTTATTATGACGGTTCAACTTTAAACTGATATAGAAAGTGAATTTGTCAATTTTAAATGAGACACTTTTTATGTCGGTCAATTTGAACCATCATAAAAGTTATTCAGATTTAACATATTCAGTTTCGCTTTATCATCTTTATTTTTCTCATTTTTCATTTTTTTTCCTTATACGAACACTAGTGGAAAAATAACATTCTATAACGAGTTTTTATCATGGTCGTAGTCCACCCGTCATAGTATGTAGCGCGGTGACAATTTTGTAATAAAATCATAAACTTTCTATGTCGGGTAAATTTTAACCGACATAGTAAGTGGAAAGTTCACTTTCTATGTCGGTTAAATATTACCCGACATAGAAAGTTAACTTTCTATGTCGGGTAACATTTAACCGACATAGAAAGTTCACTTTCTATGTCGGTTAAAATTTACCCGACATAGAAAGTGTCTTTGATGACGGGTGTTAGGGCAACCGACATAGTATCTTCTGTTTTACCCTGCTCCAACGCTCCATTTCATGTCATCACTTCACCCATAGCAGAGCTCCCCGTTCGCCTGTGTACGTTTCTCCCTACGCTCCATTTCATTTCATCAGTTCACCCATAGCAGAGCTCCCCGTTCGCCTGTGTACGTTTCTCCGCACCCACATTTGCTCGTCACGCCACCTGCCAACGCTGTACGTCATGCCGCCTGCTGCTACTGTCGTTGGTGCCCGTCGCCTGTGATACGTTTCTCCCCACTCGGCTCTGCACGTCACGCCACCTGCCACCTCTGTAGGTCTTCAAGAGGTAAGTTTTCGTGCTTGCTTTAGCCATTGTAGGTTTACAGTATTGAATCTGGTAAGTAATAATGCTGTCAAGAGAGGGAAACATCACGGGTGCCTTTAGCTAATTTAGAGATGTATTGTAAGTAGTTTAGTCATTTGAATGTGTTTCTGTAGGCATTCTTTCGTGATTTTGATTTTGAAAATTAGATTTGTATTATAATGTAGTTATTTTGAGAGTGGAGTTGGATTTCGTGTAGGCATTATAATGTAGTTATTTCGTGTTTCTGTAGCTAATTTGATTTTGAAAATTATATTTGTAACAATGGATCAGAGTTGGATCAATTATAGACGAACAACAAATGAATATGAGAGTGGAGTAGAACAATTCCTTGAATTTGCTAAGATGAATGTTCCGGATAATGATGGAAGATTCTATTGCCCTTGTGTTAACTGCTTGAATGAGCGAAGATTACCGACTGAAGTTATTCGGGAACATGTTCTTTGTGATGGTTTCCTAAAGAGTTACATAAAGTGGACATGGCATGGTGAATTATTAAACATGCCAAGTGTAGAAGACAAAGAAGAAGTTGATCTAGAGATGGATGATCAAGCTGGAGGAAATGATTCGTGAGCTTGGACAAGATGCCTTCCAACATACACATGTGTATGAGAAGTTGTCCAATGATGCAAAAGAGCCTTTGTATACAAATTGTACTAAGTTCACACGATTGTCGGCGGTACTAAAATTGTTCAATGTGAAGGCAAAGAATGGGTGGACTGATAAAAGTTTCACGGAATTGCTTGAGTTGTTGAGTGACATGCTCCCAGAAGGTAACACATTGCCAACCCGCAATTATGATGCTAAGAAGATATTGTGTCCAATGGGTATGGAGTACCACAAAATTCATGCATGTCCGAATGATTGTGTGTTGTACAGGAAAGAATTTGAGAACTGTCACGAATGTCCACAATGCGGGAATCACGATACAAGAAGAAGGATGGTGATTCTGACAATGATGTAATGAAGGGTACCCCTGCAAAAGTGTTATGGTATCTTCCCATTGTTCCAAGGTTGAAACGATTATTCACTAATGGAAATGATGCAAAGCTCACTAGATGGCATGCGGATAGTCGTATTAAAGATGGTCGGTTGAGGCATCCTGCAGATGGATTGCAATGGAAAAAAATTGATTCCATCTTCCAGAATTTTGGTAATGATCCAAGAAACATTAGGTTTGGACTTGCTACAGATGGAATGAATCCATATGGAAATTTAAGCGAGTAAACATAGTTCATGGCCTGTGGTGTTAGTTATTTACAACTTACCTCCGTGGTTGTGTATGAAACGTAAGTACTTGATGCTATCTTTGATGATCTCGGGTCCCGGACAACCTGGAAATGACATTGATGTTTTTTTAAGCCCATTGGTTGAAGAGTTGAAGAGGTTGTGGGAGGAAGGTGTTAATGTGTTTGAT